ATGCCATTTTCTGTGGGATACCTTCCTCACTTGAGTAGAAAGATGACATCCAGCCGGCTGCCAGCAGGCTCTTTGGACTGCCTTTACAATAAATGTAAGAAAAAGGCATCACAGACTTTGCTAGCTCTGCTGATTAAAGATAGACAGCACTGCATCTGACTTCTTTTGCACTAAAATGACCATAATTCACATTTAATATGCCGCAAAGTCATCTGCCTTCCAAGCACAGGAGCTGAAAGGAGCTGTTCTGCTGAAAGTCACTGCTGTTAGGTCAAATTTAAACTCAATATTACAGGACAGAAATTACATTGCTATTAATAATAAATAGTCATGATAATGTTTTCCCTTAATAGGGCATCTCTTCCCCAGGAATCCTAATGCTTTATAAACTCTGGACTTAGTTTATCCACTACTACAACACTAACTTCTGCCTGATTTGCATGGGTGCAGAGGAGTGTAGAAATTCATTGAAGATTGCATCAGATCTGTAAATTACTCCATTGCAGCTTGATACCTCAGAGACAGATGCAGCAATAATACTGTCAGTGCTTTAACAAGGAGTTCTCACACACACATTTTGGACAGCAGGCCTATACTGCACGCCTGTGTGGTGCCAGTGCTTCCTGTGAAGGGGTGGGAAGGTAAGGATCTGAGCAGTACTATTTATGTTCCTCTCTAAATAAAGATGCTCCCTCATGACCACGATCAAGTATAGAAGAACTACCAATCAGCAAAAAACTTTAAGTGCTCCTTAAGAGAAGCAGCTTCTGGAGTGCTGGGAAAATCATACTCTGTGTAGTCCCCAGGCAGAATGGACTCCTACCATGAACTACTACAACATAAACATTTCAAAAACTAATACTACATAGACATGGCTGCAAACACATGCAGTAAATACTCAACACACGGCTCAGTGTTCCTGTCCTTAACTTGGGATGAAAGAGTAAGCAAAACAACTGTAAATAGAATCAAGGATAACATCTCCAGAGATATCCTAAACATCTGGTACTTGAGTCTTCTCAAAAGCAAAACATTTGCTCCCCAGAAACACTGCATGCAGAGCTCAGGAATCAGTTCTCTTTATCCAAGCTGACTTGAGGGAAACACCAAGAGGACCAGGCACATGGAAACATCTGTGCCTTCAAGATGAAATGCCACCAAGGTCTTCTCAGAACCACACACAGTAAATGTGTACCTGATGTGGCAGCTACTCAGTCTCACAAAGCAAGCATTTCAGTCAGGATCTGAAGAATGTCATATCTAATTGACTGAGGAGGAATTACACTGGGAAAAGTCATGTGCTGACAGTTTTGAACTAGGTGGAGGCTCATATCATACTGTCTGTACTAGCAGCTCTTCTGATGCTGGGCACAAATAGGCATTCAATAGGTGACACATTTCATTCCTCTATGCAAACACAGCTCCCCTTCCTGATCAGGCTTGGGATATGACTGTACTACTGAAGGGAGGGGAAGAGAGGACAACTTCTAGCAAACACACTGAATGTTCCAGTTCAGTGAGAAGAGAAACCACCCCTATTCAACAGCAGCATTATTCTCAATGCTTACCTTGATATTCACCCACTGATCTTTCTTCACCACCAAGCAGCAAGTCAGTAAGGACATCAGTTTTGTATTATGCTCCAGGGAGCAAATATAAGACAATAATAAAAAGAGCTCCTAAGCGAACAGGACAGACCAGGGGCAAGAAAGGGAAAAGGTCAATCAGGCCCATTTTGTAAAAGCAAACAAGGAATTTGATTCCTTTTATCCAGAAGTGACAGAGGTCATCAGCATATTTCACATAAAACACCACAGCTTTTGGTCACTGTTCAAACCAGCCTGGTTTCCAATTCTCTCTTGATTTCTCAGCTGGTTCCAAAGACTTGCCCAACATTGATCCTACTCCTAAAAAAACTACCATAGAGTCAGATGCAGCTCAGGAGCCTGTTTCTAATAGAGATGGGCAGCAGAGGTTTAAAGGAAAAGCTAACAGGGCAAGTTTGAAGCTTTATTTCTCCCATTTTCTCCCCTCAACAGCTGCCAGGAAGCCACCTTTTGGGGACTTCCTCAGGTGGGGCATGTATTCATACATTTCTGTTTGAACAGAAGTTGATGGGCCACTGTGCCAAAAACACATTTCAAGCAGCACCACATCTCCATGTCAGGTGCATCAGTGAAAACAAAACTACTGAGTCCTTCCTGACGAGTGGCCAGAGTTAAACATAGCTGTGGGGACACCTGTTTCACCCCACCTTCACCTCTGGAGTCTGCATCAGGAATAGGCCAGACAGGACTTAACGTGCTGCAAATTCACAAGGTAAACTCAGCTCTAGGTGGGTGATGGAAACACCACCAACTGCTTCCTTGGGCTTTCACTTTTCAATAATGAAACTTCACCAAATGAGAACACAGCTTTGGGAAATAAGACCTTTTAAAATAAAACACGGGTAGCAAAGAAAAGTCGGTCCCTGTCTCTTCCCAGGCCAGACATTCATTCTGTAATAGAGAAGCCAGATACACATGTTATTAAAAAGCAACTCATGACTTCTCAACCTCTTCTACTGCAATGCAGGACATCATGTTCAGACCTCCTGAAATCTCCATCTGCAAAGCTCTGGTATCCCCATCTATGTCCTATCGCTAGCTGCCACATAATATTTTTTGTTTGTAATTTCAAGAGTAAGGAATGTTTTTCTATTGTTTACTTTCCTCAACCTATACAACATTACCCCTGTTTACCAGAGACTTCTGAACCTCCCACTTAATTGCACTCTCTCCCACAAACCAGAAAATCCATTGATTAAAGCAAAATAATCGCTCCAGGGCACAGCAGCTCCCAAGCCATGAAGAGCAAGTAGGACCGGGAGACAGAGCTGCCAGCAGAGAGATATTCCTCTCAGCAGTTTGGGAAATGCTGCTCTGGCTCCCTGTTTGCACCTACAAGACCATGCAAGAACTTTCATTGTTATAGACCCAATGTCTGTTTAAAAAAAAAAAATAAAAAAAAAAGAAGAAAATTTACCTCTGAGATAACTGTGAGAGGAGTTACTTGTAGTCCAAGACACATTTCTGTAACAATCTTTTAAGTAAAACGCATTTAAAAAATTATCAGATGTTGCACATTATCGTCTTGTAACATGTTTAGTTCCTGTTTAATGATCATTTTTACACAAACTTTGTTATCTCTACAATATACAAATAACATCTGCTGGAGAAAGGGAGGAAGAATGGCCTCTAGAGGTGAAAGGGAACCAAGAATGGCGATGTTCTAATAAAAAGAGGGAAAACACCTTTTTTTTCCTGCTCTAGTCTGTTGCTAGCAGATTGCATCAGCAAGGTACCATTAACATCTCAGCTACATCAACTCATAGAATCATTCATAAATTCAACTCATGCTTGAGAACAGACTTTTTTTTCTTCCTTAATCTGGAAATATTCAGAGAAGGACAAAACATTATTCCTTTATTATGCTAGGTAAGTGTCTGGCCCTCTGAGAGAAAGCACACCAATTGTGTTTCTTGATTATTTCAGAAATGTTGTTCTTCTAACAGATGCCTTGTGTCTGCCTAAAACCTCATGGGACTCTACCTCTAAGAGCACAAGGCAAGCCTGGACACTTCCATGAGCAACACCTGCAGGAAGAGTGTGTCACAGGAAAACTGACACAATTGTCTCCAAATTATTGTGTGTCAAACGTGGAACTTTGTTACCTTATACTGTCCTTTATATGTGTTTTGTAGGATATGTACTTCTACACTGCAAATTCATTCACATATTACTCTGGCAAGCAAGTCAGGCTTCTGGTGCAAGTGCAGCATCTTCAGGAAAAAGTCAAGAATATTATAAAAGACAAGTAAATGTTCTGACTCAAAGAACAAGCATTTCCAAGTACAGAAAGTAACACTGAGCAAAGATTCCAGACAAATGCCTACGCTGTACTTGAGGCAGGATTTTTTCTTTAGGTACTGACTTAATTTCCTTAATTGCATAATTTCAAACGTTGAAAACACTAGCTGGCTGCAATATTAGCAGCATTTGAATGGTGACTAATTCTAATGAGTATGCTAGTAGCAATTTAACACTACGACACACCACACACATTTATGTGGCTGAGAGCAATAGCAATCACCCTGGCTCATAAACCTCCATGCTCTCTGCGATGATACCTCACAGCTTTTTCCTCTCATTTTCACCTTTTGTCACCTATATTTGAGGGGACAAATTAAAATTCCTTTACTGCAGAGGGTGCTTCCACTTAAATCCCTGGGACAGCCAGTGTCCGAGGACCAGGGATGCCGAAGCTGGCAGAGTAAAGCCCAGACTTGCGCTCACACAGGAGAAAGCGAGATGCGGCCCGCTTTCGCACGCCTGAAACCAGAGCAGCTCACCACAGTGCATGCCTACTTTTTCAGTCCCTCCTTCCCTTTGTACGTGAGCTTCGCTAAGCGTTTCCTCTGCTGTCACCGCTTCCTGCCTCCCTCTCTGGCTCGCAGCTGGGTCCGGGGGCAGCGCGGACACCCGCGCCCCCCGAGCAGCGCGGGCAGGATGCTCGGATCCCGGATCCCCGCTCCCGGGCCAGGCGCGGATGGGAACCGGCGGGCGGGATGGTCATTTCTCCCTTTTACCGCGACTTTCTCCATTTTACCACGACACGGGTGACACCTGCTCCCTACTCCCGCACCCTCGGGTGTCAGGCCCAGCCCTGCATAGGCTTGCCCGAGCATCGCGGAGGGGCGGGTCCCCGGCGCCGAGGGACCTCGCCGGCGAGGAGCGGGATACGGGATGTCACACCGGGCTGCCGCAGCGCCATCCCCCGCGCCCCGGCGGTCCCCGGCCTGCACCCGCGGCTCGGCCAGCCCCTCTCCGGAGACACAGGGCATGAAGAGTGAAGCGAAGGAAAAACTCCGCGCTGAGGGGGAAGGTTCAATTCCATTCAGCCCGAGGCGAGCGCGAATCCCGAGCCCGAGGCGGGGTCGCCCCCCGGCCGCCCGCACTCACCCAGAGTCTTGACGGCGACCTGCCGGGTGAGCGGCGGCGGCAGGTTGACGCAGACCAGGTCGACGTCCTGGTGCAGCAGCACCTCGTCGATGCGGCTGGTGTAGAAGGGGACGCTCATCTCCTTGGCCAGCTCCTCCGCCTCCTCGGGCGTGCGGCCCCACAGCGCCTTCACGGCAAAGCCCTCCGCCTTCAGCAGCGGCACGATCACCCGCGCCGTGAGCCCGGTGCCGAACACCCCCACCCCGGGCAGCATGGCGGCGGCGAGGCGGCTGGCACGGCGAGGCGAGGCGCTCCCTCCTTGTCTCAGCGGGGAGAGGGAGGCAGCCCCCGCTCGGTACCGCTGCGGCTGCTGCTGCCGCCGCCGCCGGGGCCGGGACCAGCCGCCCCCCGCCTCAGCAGCGCCGCGGCCGCCGGCTGCCCCGCCATGCCCCCACCATCACACAGAGCCCCGCGGCGGCGCCGGCGCTGCGCTCCCTTCGGCGGACGCGGGGCGCGCTGGGGCGACCGCCCTTCTCCGGGCGGCGGCGCGGGCTCAGCGCCGCTCCTCTGCCATGTTCGCCGGCGCCCGCTCGCCGCCGGGAGGGCGGTGCGTCGCTGTCACCTCCCGGGTGTTCCTGCACCGCCCGCACCGCCCCCGCCGCACCATTGGCGGCCGCCCGCCCCGGCACCGCCCCGCTGCCGGCACCGGCGCCGCGGGCGCGCCCCGGCAGCGGCGGGAGCGGAGCGGCCCGGGATGCGGAGATGAGGGGATGCGGAGATGAGAGGATGCGGTGCAGACATCGCCTACAGGTGCGCTCCGCCGCACCACCGGGGCTTGCCGTCTTCCTGGCAGGTCGATATCGGGGCATCTCCGGAGACTTCCCTCCTTCCCCCATCTCTTCCCCCACGGGAGAGCCTCTGAGGGGTCGTGGCGATGGGGAGTCGTCGGAGTCACGCCGCAGTGAAGGTACAGGAGAGCTGGGAGAGCAACAGCGGCAGACTGGCGTGAGCTGGTCGTGCCCATGCCCTGCGGTCCGTCTCCTCCTGGGACGGTCCTCCAGAACGGAGATGTCCCAGAGCACGAGGAGAGCTGCCCTGAACCCCTAAAAGTGCCGTGCATGGGGTCGGATTCCAGCTCCACCACCTGTGCTTCCCACCACATCCACTCACCCGGGATGCCCAGCCAATATCTTCACAATCCATCCCACGCTGGACTGTTGTTCATTCATTTCCCTTAGAAATACCAAGGCTTTTCAGCTTTACTGCGACAGGGGTTCTCCTGGTTTTTTCCTAGCAAAGCGTCAATAGGACAATCCCCTTCTCCATGGGTCTACTTACATAGTTCAAAAACCACAGATTTGCTAAGGCGGCTTAGGGAGCTTTAGCTACTGTTGCTCAGTCCACAACATTTTTCCAGGATCTCTGGGGCCTGCAAGAAGCCCAGGCATGGCAGTAAACAGACACATAAAATTAAATTTCTTGTGGGCAGGAATCATGCCTCCTTTGCAGACCCAATACCCGGTGCTGTGCTCTAGGTCTGTCTCAGGAATGCCAGGTTTGCTGAAGGCGTGTCAGGGATTTCATAAGCAGGTACAAAGCTTGCAACACATCAAATCATAGAATCATAAAATTATGGAATGGCTTCAGTTGGAAATTACCTTAAAGGGCATCTTGTTCCAGCCCCCCTGTCATGAGTAGGGACACCTTCCACTACCTCAGGTTGCTCAAGGCCCCATCCAACCTGGCCTTGAACACCTCCAAAGAGGGGACAGCCACAACTTCTCTGGGCAACCTGTTCCAGTGCCTCACCACTCTCATAGTGCAGACTTTCTTCCTAATGTCAAATCTAAACCCACCTTCTCTCAATTTAAAACCATTGCCCCTTGTCCTATGACAACACACCCTTGTAAAAACTCTCTTTCCAGAAGAGGAAACCTTCCAGCACCACTGGCATGGTACCCGGTGCCAGCTCCTGCTTATCCCTGTCTGGGCTGAATGCTGGGCCTCCAGAGCCACCCTGCTGCCAACCTGGAGGCTGCAGGTGGGCCTGGGAGCAGGAGAGGACTGTGGTGCCCTTGGCCTCATGCAGGTCTGTGCAGACCCCATTCCCCCAGAGGTGAATCTCTGCCCTGCTCTGCGCACAGATCAGCCAGGTGAGAGCACAGCAGCTCTCGTGAGTGCCACACAGTTGCCTCGCCGCCTGACTGACTCTTTAACAGAAAAATGACAAAACATCCTGCTTCCAATAAGAGGATAAGAGTAAAGACGTTTTTCCACAAATTGTTTTCTTTACCAGTTCCTAGGAGAAAGGAAGAGAAGGGGGAGGAAGGAAAGGGAGGAAGGAATGAGAAGAAAGTAAAGGGAAAAGGAAAGTAAGACAAAAGAAATTAAGAACCTTTCCTATATGAGACTTCTGGAAATGCACCAGGGACAATGTTGGAAATATAATCCACACATGTTCAAAAAAACTAGGCTTGGAAGGCAGCACTCTTCTCTCATACCCTGTAAAGAGGTGGGATGTGGTTTTTTTTCCTGCTACCATCTCACAGGACTTCTTTATTACAAAAAGCAGAGACACTGAAAGGCTTGATGCAAGTTAAACATGTTTTGCTTTCCATGCCCTATTAGCACTGAAGTGAAGGAGGTGGATACTCTTTGGCTTCTGACAATTGAAATATAATCCAGATCTATTTGTCAGAGAACCACAGGGATATTACCTTTCTTTAAAATACAAAGACTGCTTTTGGGCTCTCCATCCCACATTCAAACCAGCTGATAGGGGTTGTTCCCAGAATGAGAATTTGGAATATCTGTCTTAATTACTTGTCTGTGCATAATAAAAAAACCTGGAAAAGTAGCTAGGTTACAGGACCAGGCTAAATATGTGATGGTTGAAGAGAAGTAGATGCTATGTGCCTATTTAGTCAATATATAGCTTTTACTTTAGCAGACACCAGGCACTTTATGAAGTTCTCAGTAAGGTCCTTGTTTTGGGAAATATTCAGTAATGCATTCAAACTGGGAATTGAGGACTGGGCAATGAAATTATTACATTAGGCAATGAAATTATTATGTTCTGCTATGTTCACTGTTGTTAGCAATAAGTAAAGCTTTACAAAAGGAAGGCCTTGTAAAATCATGGCTCAGGCCAGTTACTTTGGCTAAGTGGAAAAGGACTATGGGAAGAAGACTCAGCTGAATTAGGGGTAGAAAAACAAGTTGTATAACCACCGTGTGTTCACATCGTGGTGTATGGTGGTTGGTTGAATTATGTTTGTTGTGCTTTAAAGCTATGTAACTGATAAAGGCCTGACTGCTTAAAAAGGCCTGGTTTTTGCAACAAAGCAGCTCTCCTTTGCACCTGCCTGGGGACTCTGCATCACTACAGATCTTCACCCACATACTATTTCCCTAGAAAGAATTTTTCCTTGTTTTACCTTTTAATTTCTTTTCTCCATTTAAGTGAACATAACTTTGAAGTGTTAAACTGGGTAGATGCAGATGTCACCTAGCCCTCAGCACTCCAGCAGCCAAGTCAGCCTGTGAGAACCTGAATTATCACACCTGCAGCAGCCCCATGTTCCCCCTCATTTTTTGGAGGGACATTTGGGGCCATGCTGCAGACTGATTGTATTCAGCAGGGTCAAATCTTTCTCAATTAATTATGTGAAATAGGGCCACCTATTGCCACACTTGCCTGTCCTCATGAGCACCCAGAGAGGGAAGGCAGTGAAGGACAATTGGCCTTTCAGGATACAGGTCATGTCCTCACCGTGCTGTAGGCAACTGCAAACATGAGTGAAAGCAGAATCTTTGCTCAAATCCACACCACCGATGCTGCCAGTTACTTCTGACCGGAAATCAGAAATCTGGGCAAGCCTTTTTTTTGTGCAAAACAAAAGAGATTAAGACCACAACTAAGTGCCTCACGTTGAAGGTTCTGTCTAAGCAGGACCAAGGCTCCCTGGGTTGAGTGTACTGAACTACAAAGCCTCTCGCACTCCATGTATCATACCTTCATTCTTCTGAACGTGTCAATCTTGGCAAGAGTGCCAGCATTTTGTTCTTAAAGTTTGCTAAAGCTTTCTTCAATGAAGACACACACCCAGAGATTTCTCACACAGACAGTGAATTTGTTCATTCTTGATTTTTCTTCTGGAAACAGAAGTAAGTTAGAAGAAGAAAAAAGTTGCACATAGAAAAAGAAACAAAAGCATGAAAGTCTCATACATCCTTTTTCTAAGTTCTGTAATGAAACCTGCAGGAAACTAATAAAATGTGGCAGTCACAATTCTATTTCTTTTACTTATTTCAGCTGAGTTTTGTGGCTCCAGGTCACTACTCTGTACAATGGCTGTAATAGGTATATTACCAACTTTTTGTGAGAAATCCCAGCTCAATTGCACTTCTACAGAATTCTCATACAGTTGTTTGCAAAAGTTCAAAACTGTTCTACTTAACTACCAAAAAAATTAGCTTTTGTATTTAGTTTTTTTATTATTATTAAGGTAGTTTTAGGTTGAAAGTACTAGATGTAATAGGATAAATAAAAGGTACAAAAATCAATCAAGCATTAAATAAGCATTATCTTTTAGCATAAGTGAAATGCAGAAAGTTGGTGTTCTCACACATACAGATAGCACTTAGTCAATAAACATTCTCAATTTACTTTCCAAATACGTGAATGCGTCTTCCCAAGTATTGCAGAGCTTTCAACTCCAGAGTCTGCTCAACTCAGGACAGATATAAGATCCACCTGATGGAGTACCAGGAACCCACTGCTTCTTTTTTACTTCTCCATGCTTAAGAATCTGTTCTTTTTCAGGTTTTTAAACATTTATCCAGTCAGACTTCTCAGCTGCGTTTCCCAAACCTCTCAAACATCCATCTGAACAAGAAAGGAAAGAGCTGAATATGACATAGCTTCAGAGAAACCCTGAAACAGAGCTTGCTGTCTCTTCAGATACTTCTCAATTTCCAGGATTTAAGATTAATTAGCTCATTTCCTTTTACATAGATCAGTGTCTTTAAACATGAAACAGCTGTGAATTTTCATTAAACAGTCAATTCCTTCTGGGGTATGAGGTTAGTGATCACCACTACTGGGCTTCTTTTATTACTCTGAGGTTGAAATTATTTGCATTGAAACAGTATTGCTTCAGAGATGGGGGAAAAGTGGTGATTCAAACCTGTCCGGTTCTCCTACTCAGCTGTACTGACTCATCCGCAGCTTTAACGTGCAGCTCGAGAAAGGATGTCTGAGATGAGTTGCTCAAGTCCTCTTTTACATCTAATGCCACACAACTGGCAGTTTCCCAAGCTGACAGGAGTTTGTTCTTGTGAAGAGCAAGTTTGTTTTAGTGTCTCTTTGAATGCATTTCCACTGAGAATACACAGAAGTTCCTGCTCTGAGTT